TAACTGTGGGAAAAAGCTGCAGAAGGAATACAAGAAGAGGATATTTTGTTTCTCGAATCAAGACATGTCTTAATTAGTCCTCATTTTAATTAATTTATTTATATAGCGATAAGACATAATGGTAGCAGGCAATAATTGCTTTAAGAAATGATATTTGCCGGATTTTTCTATTGCTGCGCAAAAATTATATCGCTTTCTCGCAATACTTCTTCACTATGAAATACAGCATTAAATAATATATACAATGTATTTCTTGATAATTGCTTTTCAGTCGAATATTCTCTATCTAATCTTGTCAATTAGCAAGTTGATTATGTTCAGTAAATAAATGTGTGTCTTCATCTCCCTTTATCAAAGTAAAATTTAATTACTTGATACTTCGTACTTGTCTAACAAATAAAGTCGTATTCGTCTGCGGCCAAATTATCGAATTCTAAGCTCTATCGAAACACATCACTAATCGAAACACATTATTAAAACCAAAGATACTGCAAGGGGGTAACCACTCTTGAATTCCGGTGTACAACCTGTTAGAATTCCATTGAATTCCGTTGAATTCCTTGAAGTCCGATGAATTCTGGTAAAATCCGGTGAATTCCGTTGAAGTCCGATGTAGTCTGATGAAAATGTAGTTCAATTTCTAAAAAATAGGTCATCTCTGTTCCAATTTCTAAAAAAAGGTCATCAGTTTTGATCGAGTTTTTTGAAAGTTTCGCCTTTGTCCGGACATTAACACATTCGTCTGGAAGTTTGTTGAAAAATTTTGTTGGTATTTCGAGACGAAGATGTGAAAAGTAGCAACTATATCTATGAAAGAAATCTAGTGAAGTCCGACGAAGTCCGATGAATTCCGATGAATTCCGGTGTAGTCCGATGAATTCCAGTGTAGTCCGATGAAGTCCGTGAAGTCCGGTGAAGTCTTGAAGTCAGAAGTCCAGGTGTACATATATTTTCTGAGTGGTTACCCCCTCGTACTGTTAGTCTATTATTCTGGCAACAAGTAGCTCAGACGTAGTATTCTTTTAAATTGAAATCGTGTCTACGTGTAAGATAAAACAACGCGAAATAAAAAAAGAATTTAGTGTTTAAGCAAGTAAAGTGTACTGTGTACAAAATACAAATATTTTGCAACTGTAAAACCGTAACTTTTAAGGCGAATTATTTATGTATATATAATTAATTTCTCTTTTTGAGAAGATAGGGATATAGAGCTGTGATTTCTGTAATTAATTAATTAATATTGTTATTAAAATAGCGTCAGAAAATAACTGTAAAATTTACAAAATTATTATACAGAAGGGTAGCAAGCTGTAGAGCGATTCGCAGAAATAAAAATACAATAATTTTTTATCAAATTTAAAAATAATTTTCGTATTAAAAATTTTGTAAATAAAAAAATTTAGACAGTAATATATTCTTGTAATTTTTCTTTACTTTTAAGTTGCACATCTTTTACAGAGGCTATTTACAGAGTACAGACATTTGAATTGAATCTGATGTCTTACCCTCCCCAAAACATTAAAAATCTTTTGCAAAATCATATTCTTCGTGCCATTCAGCATAATCCAGCTGTTAAAATTATTTACCATTCTAGTCTCTTTGTGCGATTTGTCATGCATTATTTTACATTTGTCAGATCAATATATGTTTAGTTTACGAAAAAGGAAACATTTTTTTCTTAACATACAAAAATTTATGAAATTAAATAAAATTTTAATAAGACAGATAATTTATTGTTGCATAAATATTTTAGCTTCCCTCAAACATGTTTCTCATTTTATTCATTTATATTTTTTAAGAATTTTGTTAACATGTTGTTTAAATTGATTCCTGAATTTATCGATTAGTATTGCACGTACGATTTCTGATATTTCCAAGAAATCATTCGATCTAGCACTTCATTTTCATCTCTTTGATTTTCAATTGGATAAGAACTGTAATAAAAAAATAAAAAATGCTACAGAATACTTATATAATACTTATATTTTAATATATATTATTATTTTAATTAAAAAATAATAATAATTATAATAAGATTTATTTGAAACTGACCTCAGCACATGTAAAATTATTTCTTCCATTTCATCCGTTAGTTTTTTAAG